TGCCTGGGCTGTGGTCCAAGCCCTGTGTTTGACACCTTTGATCTAGGCCAGTCCTTTGATTTGACAGATGAAAAACCTGAGGTCAAGCAGGTTAACTGATGTACTCAGTCACACAAAGGGTAAATGTCTGAACCCCGGTCTTCTGACTCCAAATCCTCCTGTGTTTCCACTGAACCACATTATCTCTCATTTTATAGATAAGAAAACAGAGATAAAGAGGTGTAAGATTGCTTGTCTGTGGTCATGCAGTGATGGTAGTCCTTTTCCTGACCTCATCCATAGATTTTAGTGTTTATTCTGCTAGCTCCAGGGCCTGGGGCAACTCTACCCTTCAGTTGCATATAATAGAGCATGTTGATGCTTGAAACGATATGGGGGGATGCTTGCATTTGGATCAGGGTGGCTGGTAACTGAAAGTCAGACCTATCCCTCCAACCTTGGATATTAGTTCAGATAATGACCACAAGGGGCTTTGCGGACTTCACAGCACCCCCAAACAGGCTTAGTACTTACTTGCAGAAACCCCTGTAGAAATTTGGTTTCTTTCTTCCATCCAGAACAATCAATTTTTAAGCAATCAGTGATTTGTGATGGAGAGAGCAGCCTTTTATAAATAACCATGCCCAATGAGTTTTCTCTTGTCAGCCAGGCTTTCATCAAGTTGAAAGTCAGGTGAGTGAGTAAGCTTTCTACCAATTAGACTAGGAGGCTAAATTCCTTTCCCAGACTCTGGAGGCAGATTGGTAGCAGGTGCCATGCAGGACAGATGGCTAATCACCAGGGACCCAACGGTTGCCAAGGTGAAAAGCTGAGCCATCTTCAACCAAGCCAACCGCCTAAAGACAGTAACCATTATATACTGTGCCAATCTCATAAACTAGGGATGGAAGATTCTCCCTATTGGCTTCTCCTTCCTCTAAGACCATAAATCTATTAGGCTCAGGACTGCTTGAAGAGGTCCATCTTTTCTGATTCAGCATGGCCTTTTGTCCTCACCCCTGACTGGACACCAGAGCAATTGGTAGATGTTCAAATCTGAAAATAGTCTTTTTGGAAATGAACTTAATTTTTTTCTTGTAATACTGGATTCCTTGTAGAAATAGACAATGCAAGACAAAAAGTGCTCCTGGGATCGAATGCCCATTCGTTTCAATCTCATAATGTTGTTTATATATTATTAAGTCACAGATATTAAATCAAGACTCTTCTCATAGTGCTATATGTACTGTTGTATATGTACTTAGTGCTACACATACTTCTCATAGTATCGTACTACGATCAGTAGCAATTGACCATCTATAGCTATTCCATGTATGACACAACCCCTGAGATAGCTTTGTTCTGTTGGTGATGATGATAACAATGACAGGCAGGGAATAATAGCACCTACTATGTGCCAGTCACTGTACTAAAAGATTTATAAATTATTTCATTTGATCTTCACAATCACCTTGGGAGGTAGGTGCTATTATTATCCTCTTTTCACTGTTGAGGAAACTAAGGCAGACTGATGTCACATGACTCACCCAAGGTAACACAACTAGTACATATCTGAGGCTAGATTTGAACTCAGGTCTTTCTGACTTCAGGCCCATTGCTCTATCCATTGCACCACCTAGCTGTCTTTTATGTAAAAGAAAAGGTATAAAGGACATTTCCAAGGTGAATCATGACCAGAAGAGGAGGTAAAGGTCACTGCTCACCCACCAAGACTTTGCCTGTCGAATTCCTACTTTTCCTTCAATGTGAAAGCACCTACTATGTGCCAGGCACTATGCTAAGCAATGAAGATTGTTGTTCGTCCTTCGCTCTTGAAGAGGACCAATGACATCAGGTGGGTGATGTCTTGATTTGCAAGTGAATTGGATTTAAGTGAGTCAGGGCTGGATAAAGTCACCAACCTCACTTTCTCCTCCAAAGCCATCTGGGTCTAGTGGTAAGACACAGATCAGGACAGCTGGAGATAGCCCTGGATAGCATTGGGAGACCTTGGCCTTTTCAAGTTTACACTAATTAAGCACCTACTCTGGGCCAGGCACCGTACTAAGGAATGAACGTACAAAGCAAAGCAAAAGACAGTCCCTGATGTCAAGCAGCTCATGGCAGAGATAACATGCAACAACTATGTACAAATAAGACAGAGACAGGTTCAACTGGCTGAGTTCCAACTAACTGGAATGGTTCTCTCCCCTCCCCCACCCTCACTTCCATCCTTCCACTTTTAGGCTAGAGAAAAATAAGAGAAGATTTTCAAGTATTTAGTACAAGAAGCAACATCCAAGGATCATCCTGGGCTAATACATTTATACATTCAGATCAATTTCCCATTCCTCCAAGATCTGCATCTACAGAGTCTTAACTGATGCTCAGATGACTCCAAGACCCTTCAAAAAAGCCCGAGATTCAGAATCACTCAATCTGAGAGTCATAAAGTTCCTGAGTGCCCTCCTAGGCCAATCCATACACGGGAGTCCCCACTGTTAGGTACCCAAGTGATTGTTTAGCTTCTGCTTGAAGACCTCCAGGAAGCAGGAGCTCCCTACCTCTTGAAGCAGCCCACGGTGATTAACTGATTGCACTTTGGGGTAGCTCAGGTTTTTCCTGACCTCATGTCCAAATTGGCCTCTGCAATTTCTACCCATTGTTCTAGGTTCTGCCTTCTGAAGTCAAAACAATGAGATTAACCTTTCACAGGAACGACAGCCCTTGGAGATACTTGGAGACAGCCATCAGGTTCCCCTATCCCCACCTCAGTTTTCTCTAGGCCAAATGTCTTCAATTATATTTGTTTCCCTCAAAATCCCAGGCCATGAGCACTTAAGATAGACATCTGACTGTAGGATGCATATAAAACAGGATTTTTTAACATGGGGTTCATGGACCCCCGGTGGATCCATGGATATATTTCAGGGGCTCCATAACTTGGATGAGAAAATGGTTTTATTTCAACATAATTAGTTTACTTTATAATATTATGCATCTTATTATGCATCTTTATTTATTTATGCTTATTACTTTATAATATTATGCATCATGTGTTTAAAAGCATTATTTTTTAAAATATATATAAATTATTCTAAGAGGTTCATAGGCTTTACCAAATTGCCAAAGGGGTCTATGACATATAACATTAAAAACACCTGATGTAAAGGGAAGAAAAGATGATTTTATGTTGAAGGTGGAGGTAGGAAAATGGGAAGGCAGATCTGCAGTCTGTATTCTGCTCTGCGTCAGTCTTCTCACTGTCCACTCTCTGACTGGCCTCATCTTTTTTGCTTTCCCTTCTCTGGCTTACCGTGCAAGCTCTCTCCTTGCCACTATAGAATTCATAGTCCCTTCCAGAGAAGGGGCAAAAAGCTTTCCCAGCAATCTGAGCACACAACAGTGAATAATCAATCAATCAATATTTATTAAGCACCTATTACGTATTAGGCACTATGCAGAGGGCTGGGGATACAAAAAGAGGCAAAAGACAGACAGTTCTGGCCTTCAAGGAACTTATCATCTAATGGAAAAGACAACATGCAAACAAAATATACAGAAAGTGAGATATAGACAGGATAAATAAGAAATAAAATTAAAGAGGGAAAGCATTGGAATTAAGAGGGTTTAGGAAGGGCTGTAGAAGGTGGGATTTTAGTTGGGACTAACTTCTCATAAGCCCCACTTTTTTTTTTTTAACCCAATCCCATCAGTCTTCTCAAGGTACCAGAAGGATTTTGATATCTCCATCTGGAAGGGAGGATGATAATGTCTTATAGAGGCAACATGATACAAGGGAAAGATCACTGGGTTTGGCAGTCAGGGGATCTTGGTTCAAATCCTGCCACTGTCACTTTGGTAGGTCACTTAATCTGAGTCAGTCTCAGTCTCCCTATCTGTAAAATGGGGGTTGCACTATACGTCCTTTCAAGGTCCCTTGCAGCTCCGAATGTATGATCTTATGATATTGGAATTTGGAGAAAAATAATTTCAATTTTGGCCCAACATAGCCCAGATTGAAGATGGCATTTGCCAAATATGATGGCCATTAAAAAAAATCTAAGTCTTTAATTAAATAATGTCAGTTGTAAATATGAGTAACCTCGGGCTTGGAGAAATAATGAGGAAATTCATCTCCCTTTTTTTCTAACTGGTATCCCTACCTCAAGTCTCTCCCCACTCAAATCCTTCAGTTGCCAAAGTGATTCTCCTAAAAGTGTAGATCTGGCTATGTTACACCTGTTCCCCCCCACCCCCCATAACTCCAGTAGCTCCCTATTAGCTCCAGGCTCAAATATAAAATTTTCTGTTTGGCTATTAAAGCCCCTCTCTTTTCTACCTTTCTAGTCTATTCATTCTCATACCTCACTCTCCTTCACACCCTTTACAGGTCAGTGAAACTGACCTCCTTGCACCTTCTCAAACAAAATATCTCTTGTCTCCATGCCTGGAATCCTGTCCCCTCATCTCTGCCTTTTGACTTCCCTCAAGACCCAGCTCATATCCCACCTTCCATAGAAAGTCTTCCTCAGTCTCCCACCATCCCAACTGCTAATGCCTTCTCCCTCTCACCTTCCATCTAGTTAACTGTATGTATCCCCTACATATCTAGTTACTTACACATTGTCTCCCTCATTAGGGTATAAGCTTCTGAAAGGCAGGGAATTTTTTTATGCCTTTCTTTGCATCCTTAGTGCTTAGCTTAGTGCCTGGCACATAATAAGTGCTTAATAAATGTTCATTAACTATCTGAGATGGGAAGGACTATAAGGGTTCAGCATTGCATATCCTGTTAGACTCACTAGATGTGTCCAGTAGTTTTGCTGAAGCAATTCTAATAGGGTATGCAATATTCCACACTCATAATCAATCTTCCTCTCCAACAATCACATCAATTAGTCTTGAGTAATTTGAGTTATTTTTTTTTCTCTTACAAGGGAAGGGTAAGGGAAAGGTAGAAGTGGGTGAATGGCTAGTGATGACTGGTGTAAAAAAAAAAGGCATCAACGAAGCTTTTATTTTTTTAAAAAAGGAAATTGAACTCTTTATTAAACAGCCAAACTAACATCAACTACATTTATTTAAAAAAATAATGGCACCTGTTTTGAGTTCAGTTATGACCACATATCGCGAGGTGAAAATATACTAAGACTTTACAGATTTTCTTTTTCACATTGGTTGACATAAAACTTTATAGCCTGCTACACAAAATGGTGACTTGAAGGTGGACACATCAGACTTGACAGCCAGATAAGAGCTACCTTTACCATCGATGACTACAACCTAGGCTGGCATTCCCTTAGACACAAGCAGTGCTTTTTTTGTTGAAACATTTCTCTCAAACACACACAAAAGAAAACCACACTGCACATGCTTTAAATAAATAAAATTTGCAACAAACAAATCAGGTCTGAAACAATCTATGTACATACATTATTTCCAAACATCTTAGAACAGAGAGCATTTGGTTGATTTGTGGAAATTGACTGTTTTTATTCTTAACGGGGGTTGCCAGTCAGTCTGTTAATTGCAATGTTTGTTTCTTTAGGTTTCTAAGTGTTTTAGGATGTAGGCAGCCCAGATCCCTTCCTTTCCTAATTTAAATCTGCAGACTGTTAATCCCTCAGAGTGGGAACCAAGCCACCATGTGAAGCCATCTCTCCAACGAAAACACTGCATTTTAAATTCATCGTGTTTGGGCTTTAACATTAGCTAAGGAAATACACATGATACAGCCTCCAATTTATTGGAAGAACCCTACACAAAGTTATCCAGGGTGGCTGGGCTCCGAGGCTAGCCTATTAAATTCTCAAGTCTAGCACTGTAGATTAGAACCTAACAATCCCACGTAATCATGTTTCTCTGGGAAAATGCATTCAGAGTCTCCAGGATGCCAGGCACATACTTTCCCCCAACAAATCTACAGTGAGGGCCAGGGGACCCCTTTCCAAGCCACTGTTGGTGGCTCTATGCCTTAAGCCCGAGGGGTGTGGTGGGGCATGGGGTCAGAGGGTGCCTGTCAGGGCAAAGGCAAGGAAAAAAAATACATCTTTGTCTTTGGCTGATTGCCAATTGACTTCTTAATTTTCCTTTTAAGCATTGATCCACAATTTATTAGAGTAGCCTGCTTCCCCTTCACTGTCAGGGATTGAAGGTTTACTTTTATAACATACTCATAAACACATCCCACCCTACCCTTACCCCTTCCCACCTTCTCATTTTTTCCACTTGGACTCTAAAGAAAAATCACAAGTTGGTGCAATTAGAGCTTCTGGAAACCCAGATCTGAGAAAATCAGATTCAGACAGTCTTGGCAGTACTGGGTATGAAAAGAGGATTTGGAGTAGGGAAAAGGGCCAAAGGGTCACTTTACTGGGGGCTTGGTGGTTTCAGGATGCTGCCCCTTACCCCTGGTAGTAACTCTCACCTCCAACCCTCCCCTGGCCTGAGGTGAAAAGGGAGGGTAATGGGACTAGGGCTGGTAGTTGGAGAGGTAAAGCTGGCCCTGTGAGCTTAGGGTTAGAACCAAGAAGGATGGGGAAGGAAATTATGAGGTATAGCAACATGGTTCCCCATAGCCCCCTTCTAGGCAGGTTCCAGGAAGACCATTTCATTTAAGTCATTCATTTCAATTCAGTGACCACCTATTCATTATACACGTATGCATAATTGTGTGTTTCTTAAAAGTCTCCAAAGCAAGAGAACTGTGTTGTTGGGTTTTTTGGACACATTATAAAAATGTTTCCTTCCCATGCTAGGAATTGAGTGATTCAGAAACAAACTCAAAGGACACAGAGGTAATTGATGGCCAGAGGGAAGCCGGTCCTAGTCAATACTATTGAACTTGTAGAGACGATCAATAGAAGCCTAGGAACTGGAGGAATGAGTTATAAAAGCAGTTGGGTGAAAATATCACACATGTGGAGAGGGGCAGTGTGGGTGGGGCTATAACCAGCCTCAGGGAAGCTCAATCTAACATCTCATTAGGGGGGCAATATACAACACGAAACAGATTCTCAAAAATAATAGAGCTTAAAGATGGCAGGTAAGTCACCCCCTTCAAGTGGGCAATGTAGTGCTTTGGTTACCGGCTCCAACTTGAACTAAGGACTCTTTTAAAGGCAACCTGTGGGAAAGTATATTCAATGATCAAGAAAATCGGGGGAAGCCCACCAAATACAAAAAGCTTCCTCAATCCCCAAGGATGTTCAGTGCTCTACATCCCATGACAGCTCAGTGGGCACTGTGTTAGGCAACACAAAAAATTGGCTTTCCTATGCTTAAGACTTTAAAAAATCCTATCTTCTTATCCATGGGGACGGCAGGAGACAATGGGGGATAAAAGGTTAGTTGGCCTACATGTAAATTTGAGAAAATTCCTTAATGTTTAAATTCCTCAGTGTTTAAAATGTATAGTCACTTCAAATGCATATATTTTCCTGATATGATTGCATCCTATGTTTCTACTAAGAAAAAATTAGATATTAAATAAGAAGAGTTCATCTATTCTCACTAATGTTTTCAATTTACAGTACACCATCATTCTCCCCATTTAATGGGGACATAATAGGGTGCAAAGAGAAAAGTCTTATTCAGTTATTATTTTTTTTTTAACAGAACAAATCATAATGAGCAGATGAAAAGTATACTTTGCCCCTGCAAAGTATACCATCGGCTACTGGGTCATAAACTTTCAACGAGGCTTCAGAACAAACTCTGCCCTACTGGTGGATTCATTAAAACAAAGTGTTCTAGTTATCTGGAAGCTGGTCATATAAATTTAAATCAGCATTCACCACTAAAGAATAGTTTTAGGATATCACCTATTAACATAAGTTTCAGGATTTTGTCAATCACAGACATTCAGGGTTATCACCCCTCTCGAGCTGTTTTCACTCCCTAGTCCCAGAAATTGCAATATGACCAAACAGCATCCCAATGAAGCCTCATTTATTTCATTCCAAATGTTTACTGATTCATACTAGAGTGAGAAGATTCACTCATCAGAAGATCTTAGCAGTGAAAAGAGAATCAAGCAGTTTGATTACATGAATAAACAATAAATAGGGGGCCAAACATTAATTCCCCATGGGAAAAAACAGATTTTTACTCATTGTTTCCAAACGAAAAGAAATAGCAACACAAACCATTACAGAACAAAGACATTCCCACCCCTTCCCATGAGTATTTTGGGGCTTTCCTCTGAGAGTAGACTCAGGATCCTGCCTGTGATATCAATGAATGACAAATACTACAATTTATTTTTCTGTTCATGGGTGTAGGTGAATACTGATCATTAAACACAGACACGGAAAGGAAACTGAAACTCACCTATGTTCTCCTCCCCAAGAACCCAAGACCCTTCCACTTAACCCTGGCTTGGTGAGTCACTCAATTAACTTGTAGAACAGATACCTCTGGACAAGACAGAAGTCCTAACAAACACCAGGAAGGGACCTCAGCTCTTCCCTAGAGCTTGATTCAAAGAAATTCAACAAACAAGAGACTGAATATTCTTCTTTAAGCTTGCATGACACGAAAGTAGTCACACCTATTTTTCCCCCCAGAGGCTTGCCCCACCCATTCCCTAAAACCACAGTTCACACAATCACATTAAACAAGAGATTTCCCTAAGAGCAGCTGTTTGAAAAATATTGCACTTTGTTCGAATCCAAGTCATTAAAAACAATGTTTCCTGAAGACAAAAAAAAATGCATGGATGTTTTAACAGTTCTTCATATTAAAAATTAACACATATACACACATTCCTGCACAACTGAAGGAAGGTATGTTTTGAATAACATGGAGCCAAGTAGAAAATTTCTACTTACACAGTCTTTCCATTTTCTTCCTTTTGCTTTTTAAACATAAAGAAAACCTCTATGTCAAAGAAAGCATTTTTTTCCTCCTTACTCAGAGGCTAAAAAACTTCACACAAGTTGGAACTTTTTAGAATGCTTTAACTTCAATGACATTTTCCATAAGACCGCAAGAGACAGGTGGCATCTCTAGCTCTAATGTTCTCATAAGTTATTCTTTCTCTAATCTCCCGCCTTCCCAAGAGGACCTTATCGGTGCAGTGGGTGATTTCACTATCCACTTCAATCACCATTCACTCAACTATCTGCCCTAAAGCCAGACATGACATCATGCTCTCTTTAGAGGCGACCAAGAAGTCATGCTGAATCAAGGGTGTCTCCCTTGCTTCCTATAGCAACATAACATTGTCATTCCTATGTTTGCATATGCTTTGAGATTTCCCACAGAGAAAAACAGAAAGGGGACCACATCTTCTGAAAGGCTGATTGTCACATAGTAACAGGCCGGGGTAGTCCTCAAAGGACCTGATACAAAATACAAATGACTTCCAGACCAACTGATAATCATATGAGCCATGTGGAACTATTTGGCACATTCTAGAGAAAAAATAAAGTCACTAGTCAGTTAAGATAAAATCAAGTGGAATGATTAAATCCACTCATAAATCCTACAATTTCAAGGACAGTAGATCCCCATTGAAAATCCTGATGTTGGGCTACTAGCGTGTTAGAAGGCTTTTCATTGTCCCCATGACAACTCTAGTGAATCACTATGGACACGAGAGCCCTAACTGTGGACTAGCTAAAGAGATTGGGTACCTCTGTAGAAAAGAATCTTTTGATGTTTCTAGCCCTTATGCGCATCTCTTTTACTAAGCCAAACTCTCCTATTTCTCTGGGAGGCAGATCATTGGAGAAAAGGGTTTGCTGAGACACCCAATTTCAAAAGGTAGATTTTGAAATCCACTTTGATCCTCCTGACATTTCCCATGCACCAAATCTTCCTGACCCAGCCCCAAAAACTTAAATAAAAACAAAAAAGTTAAATTAAAAACATAAAATAAAACAACCGACACTCCCTTCTTACGCTGTGCTGGTTTTGCAGAGTGGAAATCTGTTCCAATTAAGGCAGCAAGTAGTGAGGGGAGAATCTGACAAGAGACAGGCTAACCATGGACAGTGATTAAGTAGGCAACTGCTATCGGGTTAGAGAATTGCAATTATTTACAGGTTACAGCTCGAGTCCTCTTGAAGCTGCCATCCAGTGTGCACAACAGCTCCTTTGAAAAATTTGGTAGTTAGTATACGTGGAAAAAAAGGTTTACTCTCTCGAAAGGAGGTGAAGTCGGGGTGAAGAGATTCATCTTGGTATTACTATCCGCTCGATGGCGCACAGAATATGATCCCAGTTTTTACAAAATATCGCGAGAAGCGTGACGGCAAAGAAGGTGCCGAGGATGTGAAAGCGACTCTTCATCATGGGAGCGACAAACTTGGCGATGGTGGAGACGCACACCAGGATGACCGTCATGAAGGCCAGGATCACGTTGATGCACTTGCCCAGGAGGACTTTGGCGTTCACAGCGTCGGACTGCACGGCCTGCTGCTCCTGCTGGTGGAGCTCGAGCTTGGAGATGCGGGTCTGGCAGGACTCCAAGGCTTCCTATGGGGATGGGGGAATAATAATGGTTAGTGTTTATAGAGAGCTTTCAAGATAGAAAAGCACTTTACAAATATTCTCATTGCCACGAGCTTCAGGATGGGTTAAACTGGGTGATTCAGACTTGGGAAGACATCTTCCTGAGTTCAAATCCACCCTCAGTCATTTACTGGCTGTGTAAGCACTGGGCAAGTCATTTGACCCTGTTTGCCTCAGTTTCCTCATCTGTAAAATGAGCTGGAGAAGGAAATGGCAAACTCTAGTATCTTTGCTAAGAAATCCCCAAATGAGGTCACAGAGAATCGGACACAACTGAAAATGACTGAACAACAACCTATGAATTATAAAATGATGAGTGTTGGCTTGACCATTTCTTTTTTTTCTTTTTTAATTTTTTTTTAAGGCAATTGGGGTTAAGTGACTTGCTCAGGGTCACACAGCTAGTAAGAGTCAAGTGTTTGGTCTGAGGCAAGATTTGAACTCAGGTCCTCCTGACTTCAGGGCCGGTGCTCTATCTACTGTGCCACCTAGCTGCCCCATTTCTAAGCTCCGTTTTAAGTGTGGGCTTTCTCTGGCACATTCACTCAGTCTCAATCTATAAAATAAGAGCGTTGGACCTAATGACCTCTATGGTCTTTCCTGTCTCTAAATCTGTAATCCTACATTTTACAAGACTTGAACCAATCTTGATTCCAGAAACCACATGACAAAAGACACTTCTTTCTTCTATGTAGAAGAGTGGTAACCCATGAGTGATGAATGTTACAAAATCCCTATAGTTTCCAGTCTCAGCATGGTGATAGAGGTAGTTGTCCTAGAAAAGTGACTGTAGCATAAAAAAAATTAATAAAACTCTTTAAAAAAATTCTACTATTAAAAAAGATTCAGTTTCAAGTACAATCTTTTTTTATATATATATATAGTTGTTTGTATACTGTCTCTTCTATTACATTGTAAGCTTCGTGAGGGCAAGAAATGTCTTTTGCCTTTCTTTGTATCCCCAATGCGTAGTACAGTGCCTGGCACATAATAAGTGCTTAATAATAAGTATTTATCGAGGCAGCCAGGTGGTGCAATAGATAGAGCACAAATCCGGCCTCAGACCAAACACTTGACATTTACTAGCTATGTGACCCTGGGCAAGTCACTTAACCCCAATTGCATATATATATATATATATATAATAAGTACTTATTGACTATTTGTTCTTTGTGAAGAACAGAATTCTTTAAAAAAATTTTTTCTTAAATCTACTATTAAGCTTCCAAGGCATCTACCCTATGAGTTTCTCAATGGAAAGAAAAAATTCAAAGCTTCAATTGTATGCCTCTATCATTTGAGAAGAAAGTAATTCACACATTTTAATGATGTTATTCTAACAAAGGAGACAGAAGGAAAACGAAAAAAAATATTCCAAGATTTTAACTCATTTTGTCCAATAAGATCAAATGAGGGATATATGTGAAAGGACTTAGCAAATTTTTTTTTAATGCTCTACAAATGTGGCGCGTCTTTCAAACAAGAGCACTTCACAAAACCCAAGAATGCTACATAAACATGAAGAGTAGTTATTATGACTGCTTGAAAGAGCAATCATAATAATAGTTAGTGTTTATAGAGAGCTTTCAAGTTAGAAAAGCACTTTGCAAGTATTCTCATTGTAAACTCACAACCCTGGGACGTAGGTGCTATCATTTCCCTCATTTTGCAGAAGAGGAAACTGTGGCAGATACAGGAGAAGTGACTTCCCCAGGGTCACAAAGCCAGGAAGTGTTGGAGGTGGGATTTGAACTCAGGTCTTCCAGGCTCCAACTCTAGTGTTCTACTCCTGGTCACCTAGCTTGCACTAGGAAGCTCTAGCTAGGATTTGGGGATCATTTGAGGAAGCATGGTATAGTGCATAGTGCCAGAGGGTTCAAATTCTGTCTCAGATGCTTACTAGCTGAGTGACCTCGGGCAAGTCACTTAACATTTCTGGGCCTCAGTTTCCTCAACTGTAAAATCAGGGGGCTGGATTTCATGACCTGCAAGGTTTTTTTTCTGCTCTTGCTCTGCAAGTCTGTACTATTTGACAAAAACCTTTCCTTGTAGTAGAATATTACTAGTGACAATAACAGATTTCTGGAATTAGTTCACTGAGGACTACATTGTCCTGTGTCTTCAGAATGGGATCACGGATAGGGAATTTAGATTTAGTCGAATCCTCTACCTTAAAAAAAAAAAATCAAAGCGTTATTGATGACATTTGTTTTCCACATCATAGTCATTTCTTTGTACCTGCCCCTCTCCTAAAACACACACACACACACACACACACACACACACACAGAAATATACATTTACATAGAGCTTTAAAGTTAGAAAAATGATTTACAAATATTCTCACTTTAACTTCACAACCACCTTGGGAGATAGGAGCTATTATTTTATCCATTTTACAGGTGGGGAAACTGAGGCAGACAGCGTTCTCCCCTACACACACACAATTAAGCCAATCAACACAACCAAGTTCCAAATATAACATTTTGCAACTATGACGCTTCCCCATCTCTACCTGTCCAAGAAAAGGAAGGAGATACAGTTTTAGTTTTTGCTTATTTTACACATGAGGAAATTGAGGCCCAGAGAGGTTGATATTGAAAATGACAGAATAATTCCAAGTTCTTCCCAATGTACCCTTAAATATGCAAATAAAGCTCAATGGCAGCTAGGTGTCGAAGCGGATAGAGTGCTGAGCCTGGGGTCGGGAAGACCTGAGTTCAAATCCAACCTCAGACACTTACTAGCTGTGTGACCCTGGGCAAGTCACTCAACTCTGTTTGCCTCATGGCAAATCACTCCAGTATCTTCGCCAAGAAAACCCCAAATGGGGTCAAGGAGAGTCAAACACAACCGAAAACAACTCAACAACAACAACAAAGTTCATGGAGTGTGTTGCACATCTAGATATTACAGAGGAATGGGGTGATGTTAAACTTAAAACTGTACAGTCTTTTACCCTCCCCTTAACAGAAGTGACAAGAGTGGAGATAAAAAAACAAACAGAAAAAAAATTAGGTGGCTGAGGAAAGCCTCTGACCTAGCATTCATTCAACAAACACCTACTCCCCTATTTATTAACCCAGTATCCCTTGAGGGTAGGGACCATTTTTTTTGCCCCTATATCTCCAGTACTGGGCATACAGCAAGCACTCTATAAATGCTGGTTGATTGATAAACCTGCTGTGATGTTCAATGCCCTCTAATCTTGCCTAAGCTGATTACTGAAATGCATTTGCTCAAGTCATTTTTGGCTTAAAAAAAAAAAAAAAGGAGACAGCTAACAGCTCTGACACTCATTATAATTTTCCATTAAGTACAAACATTGGAGACCAAGGAATGGAGTTAATGCATTGCCATGGCAACTCTCATCACACCAGATGATCAAAGTTAAAGCATCTTCATTTCTTCTCATACAAAGAATACAACAAGCATTTTCTCTTAGTATGTACTAGGGAGTAGTACTATTATTACCATCGTGTTATAGTTTTGAGGGAAACTGAGGCAGACAGAGGTTAAATAACTTGCCCAGGATCACACAACTAGTAAGTATCTTATGCTAGATTTGAACTCAGGTCTTTCTGACTCCAGTCCCATTGTGACATCTAGCTACCTCCAAGCACAGTCCCTCTAGGTCTCAGTTTCTCCATCTGTAAAATGTGGGAGTAGATGACCCCTAAGATCCTTTCCAGCAGTCAAATCTGTGATGCTGGGAGACTCAGAAGCTCAGTTTTCTCATCTGTTAAATGGGGACAATAATATATACCTGTCTATCTCTCTGCAAATCTTACAGGGTTATGGATCTGTGAATTAGTATTATTTCCTCACACTACTTTTAGATGCTTTTTTTTCTTTTTTTGGGGGGTGGGGCGTGAGGCAGTCGGGGTTAAGTGACTTGCCCAGGGTCACACAGCTAGTAATGTCAAGCGTCTGAGGCCGGATTTAACTCAGGTCCTCCTGACTCCAGGGCTGGTGCTCTATCTAGCCACTGTGCCACCAAGATGCTTTTCATTGAGGGTTCAGAATAAATCTCCACATTCCCTGCCTGGAGGTTAACCTGCACCCTCGGCCCATGGCCATGGCCAGTCCAGGGTATGAATGCCCTTGGCGTAGCCTAGAGCTGGGCCTCAGAAGCCACTATGTGGCTGAGTAAGACTGTGCTGAGTAAGACCCCTGACAGCTTCACTACCCACCAGCATGACAAAACCACACGCTTAGTCATTTCCTTGGCAAGGTTTTTTCCCCCTTCTGTAGTTCAAAAGGGAAACAGGAATAAAAGCTTAAATTAAATTTTCTGAATCCCCTGGTGACTTTTCTCCCCCTCCTTCTCTGCTTTTCACCTCCCCCCAAATAATTTCTAGGTGATCCAAAAAAAAGGGAAGGAGGAAAGTAATCCAAGTACCAACAAAAGCCAGACACAGACAACCCAGATGACCGCCACATTTTGAAGCTAAATGACATCATACTGGACCCTTATAATGTACCTGCTAAAATGTAAATGATTAAATTGCCCAGGGTGATGGCAACAGCATTCCTAGCTAAGAGCAGGGCCAGAAATACCCCATAATCTATCTGCCAACCTAAGCCGATCTCCTCGGTTTGGGAGGTCAATGCTTTCCACCTTGCCTGGGATTGCCCAACGTTCGGAGGTTCTGGGATTATCAGCCAGGCAGCTGGAACACCAGCTAGTGAAATAACCGACCCCTGGTTTCACTTTGTGGAAAGCCACCATTCTGGCTGACATGTCTTGTTTTCTGGACTCTTAGAGCAATGGCTGCTGACTTGGGTCTCCCCACTTTAAAAGTCTGTGCCCTTTTCCAATCCTTCCTAACCCCTCCCCATATCTTAATGCCTTTCCACTGTGTCCCAGTGCCTGGAATGCATTTCTAGCCTCCCCTTTCTTTTTTTTTTAATTTTTAAATATTTAATTAAAAACATTTTTTTTCTGCCTCCCCTTTCACATC